ATTTAGATTAATAAAGTGACAATTAAAATGTCCAACAGCAGGTTCAGATGTGACGTACAACTCTGCTTGGTAACGATCTTTCTGGTCGATCTTTTCAAGTCTTGTAAGTCGATTAACATGTGAGCATTTAGCCCACCACATGTTACCAGCATAATACGTATTCCATCCAGCTTTACGAACTCGATCGAAGGCCATTATAGCTCCACAAGTAGTATAATTTGTGGACATTAAGAGATTATAGCATAGTTGCCAGTTATCCAAAACAAAATAATTTAATACACCTCTCCAGGGGCCAATAAAAAAATCATGGACATGTGAAGCACCTTTCGAGTGTGCATACCATACTAATGATTTATTGTTATGCAAACAGAATTTTTCTAGTTTCATTAATGTTGGATATTCGTATAGTTTTGTTCTATTATCATACTCGTAAATAAACTTTGAATTAGAAAATATATCATACGCAGTTTTATTATCATCAAATTTACCTAAGCCGGTAACATAAGTATTTGAGCTCGAATTAAATAATCCACTACGATAAATGATTGTCATTTGTTCATTGACGATATTTTTCCAGTTAGAACCGACAGTTGAAAAATGGTAAAAACCAGCAATGGCAGGAAATCGAGAGTGTTTGAGAGAAATGTGTTTATTTAGAATAATTTGTTTAATTGGAAAAAAATGAAGATATACGAGAACACCACAGCTTCCAATAATAGCGATTATAAATAATTTCTTATAAATCGACTTGTCCATATTGAAAACGTCACGACTGATATATCGAACAATTATTTATTCTGGAAGATAAAAAAACTATATAAGACCTTTGAAAAAAAAAGAATCTGAGTGTCGTTTACTGTATTTATGTAGTACATCGAATTTTTTTTTAGTATAGTTAGATAGAGCATGAGCTACTCTATCAAATCATATAATTTGATTGTTAGTTTCTCTAGCTCTAGCCCAAAATTTTAGTGAATGAAAAACAAGTACTAAGAAAATTTTTTTAAGCATTATACAGTAGGTTTAATTAAAAACAAAATAGATCAAAAGATGCAGCGTCAAAAGCTCGATAATAATCACGATCAGGTATATATTAATTGTGCATTCTTTTGTTTTCTAGAAGAAGTAGAATTCAACGCAACCGACTTTTTACCATTGAAAAAACAAAATTTGTTTATAGGAATAGAAGAGTCTTTTTTTCAGTTTTGTATTTCTGTCACATAATATGGCTTTGTAGAAACAGAGAAAAATATACCAAAAGATGCGGCGCGAACAGCCCTAGTATTTACACATTAAATCTTTTTTTTTATAATTGTGAAACAAGGTGAAAAAATGCTGTGAAACCAATTTTCTTGCATTCGAAATCCGAATGCTTAAAATGTTGTCAAATTTTTGGAAAAACAACTAAAAGTAAAAAACAAACAGTTCCATGTAAGTTGTAGAGCTTTTCACGCTGCATCTTTTAGTATATTTTGTTTCAAAGAAATTCAACAAATGTGCCTATACAAAAAATAAAACATACCCTGTTTCTCATCTAATGCCAGCTTTTTAACAAAAGTGTTTTTTTGTGTTCTCTGAGATTCAACATAATTTCATTATGTGGCATCTACTTGAATTTAAATTAACTCTTTCGCAGCGAGTGGTACATATATGTATTACTTTCTTTCTTTCTGTTCTCCCCGTTCCCTCTACCGCCTTTTCCATTCAAAATTTTACTATGAAAAGGGTTAAACGAATTGATCTAGACGGCAGGTAACAAGTGTTACCGAAAGGAGAGGAGAAAAATCGTTCAATATATGATGTCAACGTGTGATCGAGATTACTATTAAGCATGGTACAAGCATTCTATCGATGGAAAAAAAAACTAATAATAATCACGACAACAGCCTTAAAAAATTTTTCATAGTGCTTGTTTTTGATTCGCTAAAATTTTGGGCTAAAGCTAGACAAACTAACAATCAAATTATATGATTTGATAGAGGAGCTCATGCTCTATCTAACTATACTAAAATAAAAAAAATTCGATGTACTACATAAATACAGTAAACGACACAAAACTATTAAAAATAACGTAATCAACCTGTATATCAAGAGACTCTGGAACAAATAATTACATGTATAAATAAGTATTTGTAATCTTCCAAGACCATATTTTTCCCACGATTACTGCTTTAATTATAAGAAATTTCTTGTAACGATGGTATATAATGTATAACACACTATATTATTGTTTATATTTTATTAACTACGAAGTTTAAACAGTTTTTACTAAAGCATAATATCTAATCACTATATGGTTATTCTAACGTATCTTGGGCTGACATGTATCTACATTTTATGTTGTATACATGTAGAAAATAAATTGTATACTAAAGATAAATTATATTGTTTTGTAATATACTAACGCTGTTTTACGACTTATTTTTCCTAATATTTTTTTTTCTCTTCGTTGTCAGCCGTTAACTTTTTCATTGTTGTGACTATCAAATAGTTATCATTATTATTTTTTGTCAAGTTTAGCAAGAGAAGAATATCCTATTAGAAAAAATAAATAACTATTTCTTTCTTTATCTGTTTGTTGATGGATCTATGAAATACATCTTATATTGTAATGAATGTAACCTACCTTGTTAATAGACAAAGAGTAGAGTATATACTTTTTTGTTGAATATAACACAAACTAGAGCAATCATTTTTGACGATAGCGTCAAAAAGAAAGTTTTCTTTCTTTGTGACGCATACTTTTGTTTAAGTATATTAGTTTGAGAAAAAGAAGAAACGTTGCAGAATAAAGGTCGGAAAATTTTTTCCTTTCTTTAATTGCTTAAAAAAAGAGAAAGCGAGAGTAACACTAAAAAAAAGCTTTTAACAGAACTGTCATTAGTGATATCATGTGATATGTGAGGAAATTGTTCCGATTAAGAGGAAAGTAAAATTTTTTTACAACTACATAACTATATCAATTATTCATTAACGGCGAGGATATCAAACGTTAAAGAATATTCATCTGCATTTTTCTTTATCTAATTATTCCACACAATTAAACAGGAAACACTTGTTTTTCTAAAAGCCATTTAAGAATATCAAACGTTTTACTTTTGAGATGTGGGTGTGGATGATGAAGGTAATTATTCATACTCACCGTCAGGATGTTTTGGAGACACTTAATTCTAGCTGTATCCATTAGTGCGAAATAGCGTTTTGGTACATAAAGCATCAGGAATGGAACAAGAATCAATAAAAGTCTAAACTTAACCAGATTAAAACTCTTTGTAGTATTTTCAAAATACTACATCACTGGACGTATTTCTGATCTATTTTGGGTGTGATAATCATTTCATTTCTGATTTAAATCAAACGAATATTTGATGATACAATAAAGTTCAAGGTTAAAAACTCATTCTGTTTAGTTTTTCTCTTTGAACTATTTTGATAAATACGATTGATTGATGAGTAATTTCGTTGCCGATGAGTTTTCACAGTGTTTAATTTTCGGATAAGATAGACTGATCCTAGATGTGTTCGTTCTAATATTTAAAATTTGTGAACATAATAAAATTTAACTATAGTTTAATTATTATAAAACAAAAAAAATCAAACGTCTTTTTGATAAAGTAACTGTTGAGAAACGAGGTGATTAATACAAGACTTGTGATATTTCTAACATGATATGTTCTTTGTCAGCTGGAATTCACTCTATGAATATGCTCGTTTC